GAAAAAAAAAAAACAAGAAAAAGACGCAGCTAACTTGGCCCAAAGTCCAAAAGTGACCCGACATTAAGTGCCGGAGCTTGGTCCTGTTTTGTGATCCTATTGCCATTACCATTGGCATTTGCCGCTTCAATAGGCCCTGCCGCCTGCTTATCAACTGATAGCTTAAACAAGCAGGCCCAGCAGCCAGCAGCAACAGCAGCAGCAGCAACAGCAGCAACAGTCCCTCAATTCCTTGGAGCTGGCGAAAAGGGTAAATTGCCATTCAAAGTTGCCGGCAAATGATTTGCTTATGTCCCGCCTCCTGCCCATCTGCCCATCTGCCGAAAAGCAAGAAAGAAGAGGAAAAAAGAACTTTTTGTTATCATAATCAAAATAATCAAATTTTGTGCCAGCAACAAAGTTTCAGTTTAGACTCGGCAACAATTATGCGGCATTCGAGGCGAGTGTCACATGTGCCAAAGTTTCCTGCCAAGCTGCCTTTTGTGCGCCCTCATTTGCAAGTGGCCATTCGGGGTATGTTGATTCTCGCTGAAGGTGTTTCTTACAGATACGAATTTTATTTCATTTTGATGAAGATAGCTTATATTCTCAGTGTCTCCGTGGGCGATAGCTACTTTTTCGAACTTTCAATATTTTTCAATTTCAATTATCCACAAAACGCTCGAGTCATAAAATTTGCTACATAAATTCTGATGGACTATAAAAAAGCTAACAAGTTCCGCGCTTGCTGTTCAGCCAATCGAAATTGTGCTAAAAAGCAATATTTCGATTTAGTATAATGCCACAGATATTATATACCATTTTATATATATATAAATTTTCTTAAAATTTCATTTTTCAGCTATGAAATAATTTTCATTGATTCTTTAGAAAAAAAAACTACTTTTTCATATGAATAATTATATAAATAACCGAATTATTCAATTGAGAGAATAATAAAATAAATTGTACATTTTTGATAAACTTTTTTTTTTTTCAAGCGGAAATGTGTTTTAAAAAATTATACAAAATTTTCTAAAATTCTTTCAGTTAAGAAAAAAATAAATAGAAAAGATCTCTTGTAGTTAGTTTTGAAACTAAAATATTTCATAAATCTTTTGAAAAAAATTTTAAAGATCAAGTCTACTATTCGCAATATATTATAACATTATAAAGAGTTAAGTAGATGCAAATAAAATAGAATTAAAAAAAAAAATTTTTTTTTTTGAGCTATGCCAGGGTAAGTTCAAGTCAATCAGCCTCTACTAGGAAAAGTTTTTTTTTTTTTTTTTTTTGTGCAAATTTAATCACTTAACCCCAATGAAGTATACGAATGGCGAAAAAGTTTGTGTGTGTGTGTTTTTTTTCTTTTTTGGCAAAAGTTGTCGCTGGCTGATGGCATAAGAAAGCGGCAAGCTATGCGGGGCATGCGGCATGCGGCATGTGGCATGCAGCGTGTGTCGCATTATTGCGAAGTGGGAGTGCGAGGTAAATTGATTTTTCACTTGGACGAGGTCACAGCATGAGCATATTAATTCAGCCACGCCCATGCACCACCCATCCACAGACCATACACTTCGCATTGTGTTGCTCTTTGTGTGTTGACATTCCAGTTAAAGTATGCGTGTGTGTGTCAGTGTGTGTGTGTGACGCCCAAATGACAAAGTTACTTAAATTACCAGGCCAAAACTTTAGTTTCGCTTACTTTGCGCTCCCCCAGCTCCAGCCTCTAGCTTCTGCTCTGCTCGCCGCTGCTCTGCTCTGTTCTTAAGCAGAATTAATGAGTAGAGAGTTGGTTTTCCTTTCACATTTTCATTGTTCTCATTGGGGGGGTTTTTTTTTTTCCTGGTGGCAAAAGTCAAAAGCTGCTATTGCAGGCAGTTCAGTTTTTGGGCGCTCGTCCAGCCATGCAACCCAAATTCACTTTAAGAGCAAGCACTCAAACATACATATATGTATGCTATATATATGTGTATATGTATGTGTGTATATAAGACTTTCCATATACGCACGCCAACAAACTGCAGTTGCCTAACTTTCTCGACACTTGCTGAGGGTATTCTAAACTTTAAGCGAGAACAAGTGAAAAATTTGTAGTTTATTCAAAATTTGGAGTGAATTTGCCATAGGTAAAGCTAAGATCTGTCTGGTCCTAATATTTATATAATAAAGAAATAGTAATTCTGAATAGAAGTTTCTATTTGCCCATTCAACTATTTTTATTTAACCTGCTTTGTCTATAGAAATGTCTGCAGTTGCACTCTAGAACTTTAGCATATATGCTAGTGTATGTAAGTGTATGAGTGTGTGTGTGTCTTTGCATATATACAGTCTCTTTTTAGTGTCTCTGGCTTCTCCTAAAAGTTTACTCTCAAATTCATGAATGTCTTTCACTTGCACTTGATGCATATTGAACTAAAGTTCTTTTAGCTTTTGCTCATTGTTTTTGTTGCAAGTGTTGAAACACTTTTTAGCAGGTTGTTCATATACAATTTTTGTTTTCTTTTTTCGGGAGTTTAGCAATGCTCTTTCAGCTGCTGGCAGATCAACGCCTTTTAAGTTTCCTCATAGCTAAATGTGGTTAAGTTTTATGGTAAAAAGTTTTGGTAATATAGAGAAACATACATATATCAATAGATTTCAATAGATGTCTTTTTATAAAAGTTAAAAGCAAAAAAACTTAAGTTACATATTAAAAGAATATATCGAATGCTAGAGAGAAATGAAGCTATCTTATAAAAATGGTGAATATATGTTTCAGCATTTAAATAATTGAAATAATTGAATATAATGACTAGATATGGTTGTCGAATAGAAATGATTAGTTAGGTAATTAGTTAGTAGTTTGGAAATTTTATCAATTGTAAATAAAAA